CATTCACCTGACATTCCTGTTAATAACAATGCCTAATTAGAAAGGCTTTTAAGCATCCATTACATTAATTTAACGTGAAAAATCTCATGAAGCTTTATTGGAATTTTTTTCTGTAAAATTAACCCTGAGGGCTTGTTACACATGTTTTCATTAGGGACTGTGAGCAGTGGGGATATTTGATGAATTAGAATCAGACCCTTAGTCTCTGGGTTTAATTTTGCTTTTTATTCCAAGTTTTTTTATGATTATAAATGCCTGAATTTTTTATTAGTCCTAATTTATGGTATTCTAGCTTTATGGATAGGGGCTACAAATTCAAACTTGTTCCTTCCATTTTCTGTTGATAATTGTTGCAGGACACTAAGGTGCCTGCTCCTTTAAGGGCTGGAACTGCCTAGGGAGGGAGCCCTAGCAGTCAGTCAGGAACCCCTCAGCTGCAAGTTACCGTGGCAGCAGGAATGAGGGAATTAGCCCACACCTGCCGGTGGTCAACTGACCAGAAGAGGCTGGGCCTGGGGCATATATAAACCCCGGTGCTGGGACCAGAGGGTCAGTTCTCTCCCAGCAGCCAAGGGGGAAAGAGCTGTCCTAGAGGAAGCTAAATGAAGAGGCTTGACTGCCCATTCAGCTTCTAGTAAGATTAAGGGACTTCAGGAGCTCAACAGATACACTGGCCTATAAGGCATGTAGTGCTGGGAGGAAGGGTGATTCTTTTGAAGGGACAGAGCAAACCTTGAGCTGCTTGCATTATGTTATAGCCCAGGGGCACATATTTTGATTTCTGTTTGTAAACCAGTGGATTCAGCTGAGGCTATTGGGGAAGGAGGAGGCCTCATTGGGGCCCACTGCAGTGTGGGGACCCCAGCACCAGTGTGGACACGGTGACAAAGGGAGTGAGTGGACCCCAGCACCAAGGGGCACAGAGAGAGAGAGAGAGACAGGGCGGTGGAGAGCCCAGTGACAACTGGAGGCCAAGTTAAACTAAGGCCTCAGAGGTACATTGTGTGAATGGCATCTGTGAGGCTTGGAGCCACACATCTAGCCCATAAGGCTGATGGTGTCCCGAGAGGCATCCATTTTGGAGCAGGACCCAAAAAGATCAGAGAACCCACAGGGTTCAGTGGGGTCCATCAGGACCGTGTCCAAAAATGCAAATTTGAGGGCAGCCTCCCTATCTATTACAGTGAGAGCAAGATGTGGCAGGAGAGAAGGAGGGTGTCCGTGGGGCAGGATTGGCATGGTCAAGGAGCCATAGGGGTATCACGGCCATCCCAGGGGACCCCATCCCATGACAGTAATGTAGGAACTAAGCCCATAGTTCTAAACGTTTTAGACCAGAGTGTGTCAAACTAGTCTGTGGACCACTGATGGTCCATGGAGAATTCATGGGCCACATGGCATGTCTCATTTCCAGCTACTTAACTTCTATTTTTAAGAAGTCCAAAATATTTCCCTAATTTAACTTGCTTATAAAGATGTGATATCTGCCATTTGGCCAGGGGTTGAATCAAGAATTTCCAAGGCTGAAAACACCAGTTGTTATAAGTTTTGCTAAAGGGGTCCTTAGCTGTAAGCTATGGGGACTCTTAGCCTGTATGGTTGGGCATACAAGATCCCATAACTTGCACTCACCACTGGGTCACATAAACAATTGTTGTAATCACCACAAGGATGAAATTCAGAAAGTTTGTCTATGGGACTTCAAATGAGTATAGGGAACCCTATTGGACAGTCTCCCTATCCTAATGCAAGTCCACTCTGAAAATGTTTTGGTGAACCCTTTTCTTACATCCTAATGGCACTCCAGAACCAAGAACTCGTAAGTGCTTTTATTATATTTCTTGCGTTTAGTACTCATTAGAACTTGTCATATTAGAACTTGAAGCTATTCTTGGCATACTATGCCTTTATAATTCAGGGAACCTTTTGTGATTGATCAATTTAGGGATTTGATACAGAAGAGAAATTGGAAGAGAGGACCAGATTCTCAACTAACATATATCCATGGAGATGCATTGTTTTAAGCCAAGTGTGTACTTGGTATGGAGAGCCTCCCTTGTGAGGCAGATTAAATTACTGACATATTGAAACTAAATAATGAGAGAAACATATAATTCAACTTTTTGATGGAAAAGAACACTATCTTGTTCATTCCATGACTGATACAGGAAAGATCTCTACAGGACATTGTGAAGTACTTTGGCCAGTCTAGATTTCAATTTCCCAAGCACTGGGATTTCTCTGTTTCCCTTGGGAGACTGTTCTGTTGCCTAATACAGCAGATTTCATTGTTGTGATTTCCTGACATTCACCCTAGATTTCTCCTTTTTCTAATCTTTCTTTTTGGTCCTTGTACATCATCATTCTTCTCCATTGTGGTGTTTATGCTGTTTTAAATATTTATAGACTCTTATTGACCTCTTAGATGTCACTGAACCAAGTTGCACATAATTAGATTTTTTTTTTAATCGTTTCTCATTGGCTAGACCATTTGACCCCACTAATAATTTTCATCAGTCTTCCTTGAACTTCCTCAACTTGTCAATCACCTTCTAGTAATGAAGTGAGCAGAACTGAATTCAGCATTATGGCAGTCACGCACACAGAAAGGATATATTGCCTCTCTGCTCTATGAGAAGAGGCCTCTGTGCATACAACCTCTACATCAGGCATTATTTGCTGCTCTATTACATTGCCAGCTCACCTCTAATTTTTGCCTTCTATCACCCTCAGATCTATTTCATCTTTTTTGGTAACTTCATAGAAGTTGAATTTAGCAGGCAGGGAAGCACCATTACTAATGATCTAGACACCTTTGCAAACTCAGTACTCTTTCATTTCCTTTCTATTCCTCATCATACAGATAAAGTTGATGACCCTGAAACCTGAGCTTCCATAATTTCTGAAAGAAGAATTTGGCACTTCTCACACTAGAACTTGTCTTTGTGTACACTGCTGCAGCTCCATTGAAGTCAACGCTGAATAACACAACTTGAGAAGCTTGCCTGGTTTCTTCTATGCTAGCAAGTTCCATTCATTGCTTTGGTCTTCGAACTACGTGAATCCTCTTCATCATATCTGGATGAGGACTCAGATTCCAAGAGGATAAGAACCGGTGTTAAACTTCTATTAGATTGTAGTTGAGTTCAGAAGCAGAGTTAGGCCTCCAGCAGGAAAAAAATATGCGATTTCCCTATGTCTCAGAGTAGGTATATTCTAATGGTTCAGAAATGGGTTCCACTAGATAAGCATAGGCATTGAGTTTACAATGAGATCACAACTGGCATGAGAACTCCACAAGGACAGGAACAGTTAGTTTTAGTAATGAGATAAGAAACACAGTAGAATGGAAGATTTAGGACTGGGTTTGAATTTCCATGTCAGTAACATCACATCATGCACCTGCCCACGGCTCTCATGTTTATTATAGGTGCGCTGTGCTAAGATTTCCTACAGGCTGAGTCTTGCTGCCTGATGTGACATTACTTTATCTCAGCAACTCCAGCAAGCATGAGAATTAAAAGCAGGTGACAGAGCTGGAGATATGAGTGCTAATTACCTGTTCCCTGCTGCTACCTGGGTTCATAGATGTCATAGACATTAAGGCTGGAAGGGACCTCAGAAGATCATCGAGCCCAGCCCCCCGCCCAAAAGGCAGAAAGTCAGC